AGAACAATAGGATACCTGTATATATAGATATAGATATAGCCAATAGGATATCTATCTGTCTATCTATCTATCATCTATCATGTCTATGTCTATACCTATATCTATATCTATCTATAGCTATAAGAATTGGTTCACACAATGATGGAGACTGAGAAGTCCCATAATCCGTTGTCTGCAACCTGGAGACCCAGGAAAGCCAGTGGTGTAATTTAGTCCAAGTTCAAAGGTCTGAGAACCAGGGAAGCTGATGGTGTAAATCCCAATCTGAGGACTGGAGAAGATGAATGAGGTGTCCCATCTCAAGCAGTGAGGCAGGGAAGAAAGGGACAAATTCTTCCTTCTTCCACCTTTTGTTCTACTCAGACCTTCAATGGGCTGGATGATGCTCACCCATATTGGGGAGGGCAATCTACTTTACTGAGTCCACTGATTCAAATGCTCATCTCATCTGGAAACACCTTCAAAGATATACCTAGAAATAATGTTTAATCTGGGCACCCGTGGCCAGTCAAATCGACACGTAAAATTAACCATCACATTGGTTAATGTGAGGCTGTGCCTGCGTGGACTTGCCACCATCCATTATGAAGCGCCCCTACTGGGCATGGCTGAGTTCTTATTGATCAAATTCCCTTTAGGTTGAATTGACCCAAATGTCAATTAGTGATGCACAGTCTTAAAACTGCAGGTTGTGTGAACTGCTCTTGAATAAAGCTGCATGGCCCATGTTTTATATTTTATATAGCCCAGAATATGTTTTTATTTTTCTAGGTACATATCCAGCCATTTTGAATTGAATGGATTTTGAACTTGAGACACCACAAATACATGTCACTTCCCAAAGAGGAAACAATTAAAACTTTACACAGATTGATTGTGTTTATTACTACAAACTACACTTGTTTTCTCACCTGAAATCCCAAGTATTCTTTTGTATGTGTTATCCTCTAGTTAGGGCATCTAGCGCATGGAAACCCCTGTTTGTGAATTCAGTCTTAGGTAGTCACCTGCTTCTCCTTCAGGAGAGGGAATACTCCTGACTCCAGAAAGTGCTCCTGTAACATCCTGTACATATTTCAATTGCTAAATTTAATTCATTCCATTGTCATCATTATGTCTGTCTACCCTACTGGATGCTGGGCTCTTCAGGTCATTGTTAAATCGTTTATCTTTATATCAGCACAGCGAGCATGGTATCTGAGGCATTGTGAGTCCTCCACAAATATTTGTTAAGTGGATTTGTTTATTGAAGGAAGAACTCATGTACTTTATTTGATTACCTGATGGGAGCTTTGCATCATTTTCTGGTTTTCTTTTCCCTTGCATGACAGAAAACTTCAAGCCAGATTTTATGCTCTGCTGTGATAATAGCTACCTTATCCCAATTCTAAAAGACTTCTGCTTATTTTTCTGTAAATTAGCCTGACTACATATTTTTATTATAAGTGATGTCAAACGCATTTTAGAACTACAAATAACATAAATTATAAAGATATTTGGCAATTTTGGCTCACCTCTGATTCATGTTTAAGGAAAATTAATGCCTTTCGCCATAGTGAACTTAATCGCTGTGATGGTAACATTATGAAAAATTGGGCTTCCCTGGTGGCGCAGTGGTTGAGAGTCCGCCTGCCGATTCAGGGGACACGGGTTCGTGCCCTGGTCCAGGAAGATCTCACATGTCGCGGAGCGGCTCGGCCTGTGAGCCATGGCCGCTGAGCCTGCGCATCCGGAGCCTGTGCTCCGCAACGGGAGAGGCCACAACAGTGAGAGGCCCGCGTACCGCAAAAAAAAAAAAAAAAAAAAAAAGAAAAATCAAGAAGCAATAACTATTACATAAACGTGGGAAGGTTGTATGTATTATGCTTACAAATAGGAAGGAAAAATGAGGATCATTCCAAGAATTGACTTCTGATGTATAAACTATAAATACATATATTTATATGGAGAGAGTTGCTGAAGTTGACTTGGTGTGGATGGATATTATGTAGCTGGAAGAACCATGTGTTGAAAAAAGTATTTTACCTTTAGTTATTTAATCGTTTTTATTTTTTTTTTTATATCTAAGAGAAGGAGAAAAGGACATAGAAAATCCAAAGAATTTCTCAGAGGAAAAAGAATCTTATAAACCTGGTGAGAAAGCTGCACAGTGGTCCAATTACGAGAAAGGCAGATATAAGATATATGTAGTAAGGTCAGACAGCACAGTCTGAAAGGTGTACTTCTATCCCAATGAGAGAAAAACAGTATTAGATTTGAGATTGGGGAATGGTTGCCTTGGCTAGTTACAGTGACATAAATCAACAAGAATATTACTTTGTGAAGCGAGGAGGATAGTCTTTGTCAAATTACTCTTGGTTTTGTTATAGGCTAATGAAAAGGTCTAGGGCCAGAGTGAAATGGGAAAACAAGAAACAATAGGAGAGAAAAGAAAAATCAAAATGCTTGATGACAAGCCAGAGCTTTATTTATTAAAGTTTTACTTTGGAAAATTTGAAGAAGTTAAGTAGTCCAGCATTTTCTTGAGCTGAAAACAGACCATTGGTCTTACTTCTAAAGCAAACAACACTTTCTAAATGAAAACAAATAAGTGAAAGAATCAACAAAGAAGCAGTCATCTCACCACGAAATGAGTCAATATTTGCTCTTTATGGTAACCAGAAATATCTGGTTTTGTTTTTTAAACCTGATGCTATAACATTGTAGAAATTCTTACTAAAGTTTAAAAAAGGTACATAGTCCAACCTTTAGTAAAAAATTGGAAAGAGGTTTGTAGGAGAGGTTTGCTCTTACAAATGAACTCCAGTTTTAGAATAAAAAGTGTACTCATTTAAAGTGTTTTTGTTTGTCGGAGTTGATAGAAATGTCTAGACATTGGGAGGTGGGAAAGTAACATGCCTGTGGAAAGTGCTGGGGTGGGAAAGAAAGCTCCGAGGGTGTTGGCTGAGCTTGGCCTGTAGTGAGAGCTCTCATCCTTGACAGTTGCTCTCAAAGGGCACAAAACATTTAGGCCTCATTATATTTGAAATTTCCTATATTCATTATTAACATTTAATCATGAAATTTCACATGCAAATCCACATTTCTGATTTCTTTTGAAAAATCTGATAGCATTCCACAATAGTAGCTCTCACTGAATAAGACTGAATAGTGGCTGCTCATTTGGGACAGAGCCAGTTCCCCATTGTCCATTCCCCTCTCACCCTTTTATTTTCTCCAGACGTGGAGGCTGAATGTCAGTTGTAATCCATCCATCCATGTGATGGTTATTTGTCTGATGGTAGAATTAACAGAATATTAGAATATGTCTGATAACCTCATTTGTATCAAAAAGCATGATGCAGACCAAGATGCCACATGATTCAAGAACAATGAGAGAAAGCATACTTCCTTGTGGAAGTGAGAGTATCCTAGGGATTCATATGCATTTAAATAGATCTCTGCAGAAATCACCTGCATGTTTTGCTCATTTACTCACTTATAGACTTTGTGTTTAAGATACCCAGTTTAGCTTTTGTACCTGTGATCTTATCTTCAGGCACGGATCATCCCTGAGGCTGAAATAATATGTTTATTATTCCAAGAGACATTCCCCTTTTCTTTCTTTTCAATGAAACTCTGAGATTTTTTATGGTGGCAATGTGTGTATAGCTGGGTCTATGCCTAAATTTTTAATCACATTCCTGTATTTCTCAGCTTCTCTTGTTTCTAGCCATGTAACCCAGTTCTAACCAATGAGATGTAGGCAGAGGATGCTGATGAGCCGGGGAATATTTTATTTCTCTATAAAAGACGACAGGCACAGTTGGTTTGGCCCTTTGACCATTCCCCCTTTCTTCCTGCTTTGAAATGAACAAGTTCTCTGGAGATGCAAAACCTACCTTGTTCCCATGGGGAGATAGCCATGGGAGCAAAAGCCAATCTGTGAAGAATACTGAGCAGAAATAAAGCAAGAGTCTTGGCCCTTGGGTGCGACTGAGTGGCTAAACCAGTTGCCAGTACCTGTTTAGTTTTGGTTATACGAGAAAGCTAAATTCTTCACTGTTTAATTCATGGTTGTTCAGCTTTTCTGTTACTTGCAGACAAAGGCATTCCTAATAGATCCATTCCTTTTCCCTCTCCTCCACTCATATATGCACAATGCTTCCCACCATTCCTGTACATCCCACATTTGCCAAATTATGCCAACACCCCAATTCAGTTCCTACTGGACAATATTTGCAAGGCATGGCACTTGGAGTGAGGGTTCTACGAAGATAAGACAAATTATCTGTCTTTAAATAGCTTGTTATCTAGAAGGGAAAATTAGATACATGCACACCCAGTTGCAACACAAAGTAGAATAGGACAGTGTTATGGAAGTGCAGGTTGTTGTGGCGTGTTCGGGGTGGGGGATGACATAAGTGCATTTTTTGGTTCACAGCCTCCTTGAGAGCTTCCTGGGTGTAATCTGAAACTGGCTCCCATACGCAGGGGGCATCAAGAGACTCAAGAAAGAGGTAAATCACTCTACATTGGTAGGTGGCAAATTAAATAAGGGAGGGAACAAACCTACAATGCTTGTTTGGGGCGGCCATAAGATGAGTAGATTTTCGCACCCGCTCACCAGAAGCTTAAAATGGAGGGCAGCTTTTATTATTAGAGACCTTTCAGTGTTCACTAAAGATAGGCCTTGCTGGCTTTCACTGAAGACTTGCTGGGTGAATTTAGTAAGGGCTTCTATGTGTGCTATAATGTCCTCCAGGCCAACAGAGGGAACAAATGGTAGCCAAATGATTGTCCAGTGGAAAACAGAACATGCCCCCCTGGCCTTCAAGAGAGGGAGGTTGGCAGCTTTAGGAAACTGACCTGGCTGTGCACACCATACATGCTGGCTGGGGAGGCAGCAATCTCAGGCACGAGGAGACGGACTGGGGGTGAGATATACCAGACCAGGACCCCCACCTTCTCCCCTCTTTCAATGGTGTGTGTTCCATTTCAAGTATAATGTGTTTCAACAGGTCCAGCTTGCAGCAGGACAATGGGATCCCTGAGGAGACTGCATAGTTTCCTTTCACCCAGGGGTGCAAAGTCTCTGATCTGGATGAGATGTCCTATTGCGAATTCCAGGAGACAATTCCCAGGTGTGATGGAGCCCGGTGTTCTCAACAGCATAGCAGGTTGATCCATGGTGAGAGTTGGGGCAATGGCTTTTTCCTGCCATTTCCATACCTCTACAGTATTTGGGTGCCTTGGCAGAGGTCCCTAGTCTGGCATGTGGGACAACAGGCCATACTGGTTGATCATTCAAATGTATTAAAGCCTAAGACAGCACTTTAGTTCACCCTGCCAAGGTGATTTCACTTGATAGTAATTTAATCTGCTGTCTTAATATTCCATGTTTCCTTCCTACCAGCCCTGTTGCTTGCAGATTGTAGGGGAGATGGAACCTCTATTTAATGTCATGTTCTTTTGCCCAGTCTTGCACATCATGACCTCTGTAATGTGATCACTGATCACTATCACTGATACTCAAAAAGAGTATCCGTACATGGTACTCAGCTTCTCTAATCCCCTAACAGTGGTAGCCTGGTCTGTGTGGCTTAGGTTAAACCAGACCCAGTGTCCACACAAACCAAGACATGTTTAGACCCTCACTTGCAGGGAAGGGGCCAATATAATCAATTTGCCAGTCCCTTCCCAGTTGGGAACTACAGTGGATGGGTCCAATCATCCGTAACGTTGCCTTGTGCATTGCTTAGAACACACAGGACATGTACTGCCATTAACCAAGTCACTGTATTTCAAGGGCAATTTGACATCCTTGGCAATATGCCATCCTACCCAAGCATTGTGGTGGCTGCTCCTTTCATACACCCAAATCTGCTGTATCTGCTAAAGGGTCAGTTGCTAGGGCTTGTATCTGAGCTGGAGCATCAGCTTCCTGATTGCCAGGGGGTGTCAGTGCCTTACTAGCTGGGATGTGGAAAAGAATGAGGATTGCCTCAGGCTCTTGGAGGCAAACCCAAATGTCCCTCCACACATCCTGACCAACAAGGACCCACTCATGAATCATAGGCCCTTGTATCCCATTGTCCAGAGCTGGGACCAAAATCCGAGGGGCACTCTCCCCTCTGTTGTCTCTGTCACAGTGCCTGACCCATACCTTCTGGAGTCACAGACGCCTCTAACCCAAATGCTAGTTCTGCTTGGTAGATGTGCAGAGCTTTCATCTGCTTCTCTAGCATTTTTGCCTTCTCAAAGGAGGCTTGCTGCTCTGATCCCCAGTCCCAAATGTGCCCTTTCTTTACCAGGTGGAGGCAATGTGCTGGGTAGGGAATAAAAGTCCTCCAAAACCCTAAAATCCCTACAAAGGCTGGCATCTCTTTCACATTCTTAGGGGTTGGATAGGCTTTGCATCTCAAACACAGCTTTTGGGACAGCACATGTCTTACCTGACCGAACGACTCCCCCAAAATCTTTGCGGTGGTGCCTGGGCCTTGACTTTTCTGTAAGTTCACTGCACATCTCCCTTGCAGATGTTCTAGCAAAGCCTGCAGAGTGACCTGCAGCAGAGGCAATCATCAATGTAATGGGTCATTTTACTAATGTGGGGAAGGGGAACAGGGACAGGTCTTGGCTACCATCCCATGACATATTGTGGGGCTGTGCAGGTAGACTTGGGGAAGCACTTGAAAGGTCCATTATTGCCCCTCCTATATGAAGGCAAATTGATCTTAGTTATCAGAAACCTGTACTTGTCAAAATCTTTTCCATGAATCTCCTTGAAGATAAAGCACTTTTTCAGTAACAGTTTGTCAAAGCATCAGAGTAAAACAATAACTGCCTGCAAATGACAAAAGACAAAAAGTAGCCATGGTTAAAGATCTGATTAGAGTTCATTATAATGCAGTTGTCAAGAGAATTTGGTTATTTTTGTGACATACATTTTAAAATTATGACTGATAACATTATACCAAGACATGTTAGGTTTTTAGGAATTTCATATAAGTATACCCTAAAGACAGTGTACCACTTCTTAAATTTGACAATGCTTCCCATGAAATTTAACATATACAAAAAGTTATATGGTTGTAAAACACTTAGTTTCTTTAATAGAGAAGGCTCAGGTTTCTTAAGTAATCAAGGACCTGATAAAAGACAAAACACAAAATCTTTGTTTTCTAGACAGATTACATTAAAGGCAAAGAAAAGCCTTTATTTATAATTTCTTACTAGAGCAAGCCAATAATCTAAGAAAACTTTGTCCTTTTAACAGAGAGAAAACCAAATTCTAATTTTGCAGTGTACTTTTGATATTAAAACTCTCCGTTTTTTCTTTTTAACTTAAATCTATTTCAACTTTAGCTTGACTACACATAACATTTCTTTCTCAATATTTTTTTCTGCGAAACTGCAGCTTTCTATATCCATTCAGCTTTTGTCCTCTTTTTTTTTCCAATCTTGGAACAATCATTTTACTTTAGGACAAAATTGCTTTCTTTTTTTCTTTACCAAAACAAATAATATCCTTTATCTAAAAAAAACCACGTTCTATTTTTTTTACCTACTTTTCTTATACAGTCATTTTCTTTCACCCTTATTATTTCTAATAGATTTGTAAAATACCTTATCTCTTTTACAAATAAATTTTGGTAATACCCTCTGCAGGTAGCAAAACATCACACATTCACAATACACATCTATAGACATATTACATAAACATACAGACAGACACAAATGGAAACTCCATGGCTTTCATTCCAAAACTTAAGCCATGAATCAGGTACCCACTCACATGGCTAAAGCTTTTTACTGATATTTGTGATCTTATGGAGGCTGTGGACTAGATTTTTGGGCAAAGGAACTTCTACAGCAGTCTGTATTTTAAAAAAGCCTCTTTCCCTGCCTTTTAAAATTAAAAAAAAATTTTTTTTACCGTCTCTGTGGGCAATGTTTTGGTTATCTCCAGGGTGTTTATATTTCAAAGACACGATAAGATTTACAACTTCAGAAAACAGAGAAAGAATGTAAGTTTTCTCCTAGGGGTTTTGAGGTAATTACTATTTAAAATTTTCCTTTGTAATAGGAGGCACAGGGTGTTTCACCTGCTTCCTCATCAATCACCATAACATTATCCTCTTTATTCTCATCACATTCCCAGGGATTCCACCCCTTAGTGTCTCAGTCAGGCTTTGTCACAAGCACTTGGAGCTTAATCCACAGCAACTTGCACCCTTCTAGCTCTGCAAAATGGTACACTAAGGTCTCCAATTTATTATCCTGCTCTCCCACCTTGTCTGGCAGCCCCGAAGCTAGCAGAGTAGTGGACAACTGCATGCCTTTCTCTAACCTCAGCTTTTCTTCTAACTCTCTAACTCAAGCTCCAGCCTCCAGTTGGGCATTGATATCCAGCTGAACTGCCCACAGTAGAGTACAGCCCATTGCAAGAGCCCTTCATTTCCCTTTGCTGCAGTGTGCTATGTGCAGTTTCTCAAGCAAAAAATGACAGCTGGCATTTTTGGGACATCCCCATACTCATGGAGCAGTCCACAAGCATCTAACATATGGGCCACCCTTCCCCACATGAAGATTTTTTTTTTTAGCATCTTTATTGGAGTATAATTGCTTTACAATGTTGTGTTAGTTTCTGCTTTATAACAAAGTGAATCAGCTATATGTATACATATATCCCCATATCCCCTCCCTCTTGCGTCTCCCTCCCACCCTCCCTATCCCACCCCTCTAGGTGGTCACAAAGCACCGAGCTGATCAGGCTGTGCTATGTGGCTGCTTCCCACTAGCTATCTGCTTTATATTTGGTAGTGTGTATATGTCCACCCACCTGAAGATTGATGGCTAACTCAGGATTTCCCCTGTGGATGCCTCTTTCCCAAGGCTAGGGAATTTAAGAGGCTGGTATGGGCCACCCCTCCCCACACAGAGGTCCATGGCCACCTCAGGATTTCCCCCATGGATGCCTTTTTCCCAAAGCTCATTTGTTTGGTCTCCTGCCTGGCTTGCCAATTATAGGTTTGCAATCTCCTCAGGAGCTTCCTGGGTGTAATCTGAAACTGACCCCCATACACAGAGGGCTGGGAGAGACCCAAGAAAGAGGTAAACTACTCCAGATTGGAGGGTGGCAGGTTTAATAAGCAAGGGAACTTACTTACAAGGCTTGTCTTTGCTCAGCTGCGTAGATTTCTGCACCCACCTGCCAGAATCTGAGAAGTTTATATAGAGGCCTAAACTGGGTTCAGTCACATACACTGTCCAGATGGTCTCAGGAATACCTTGCTTTCTCTGTGTCCTTGGAGCAGCTCCCACTGTGGGAATGGTAGGTAGAGTGTACATTCCAAGGGCAGGGGAGGCGGTAAGAAGGTTTCAGCTCAACGGTCATGTCTTTTCGATGACCTTCCCCAACACTACTGCACCTAGTTCCTGGCTGGAGTTGTCAGGAGAGATTTCCTAAAGAAGTTGGGACTTGAGGTGAGTCTTGAATGTTGGATAAAATTTTAGAGACTGGCAGGAGGAAAGTCATGGAGGCAGGAACATGTGGATCATCCTGGGGAGCGTGGGTTCTGCAGCTCCCTGTTCCCACACTCCAGGCCCACTGGCCTCTGTTGTTCTTCCAGTGAGCAAGCCTGTCCCAGCTCTGCGTCCTCACACGTGCTGTTCCTCCTGCTCGTGGGTCTCCCTTTTCCTCCAGTCTGCTGGCCATCCTGAGAATAATGTTTCCTTAGAGGGAACGTCTCTGAGTACCCAAACAAGTAAGTCCCAACTGCTTTCTCTCTCTTGTACTGTATTCTTTGCCTTTACAAAGTTTATATGCTCACTTGTTTAGCAATTGTTAATACGTATTGAAGACCTGTTGCATTCCAGGCACTGGATTCCTTTAGTAGCTACATTAGTGAATAAAAAAATCAAGTCCCATGCTTGTACCTTCAGATAGAGGGACAGACAATAAACAAGCAGGCACACAAAATTGTTACCTATTGTGTTAAATGCTAGGAAGGAAATAAGTGTAATCTGCTTGGGAGAAACCTGGGTACTGTTTATTAACTCTGTTAATAATAAGACCTATTCAAATGACTTTGTAATGATAATAAAGATAATATACATAAAGAGCTAAATAGAATGACTGACACATAACACTAAAGTTAGTAATTACAAATTTGTGCGTGTTTCTAAGTAAACATTTTATTGAAATACATGTACAGGAGAGAGCACAAAAGTGTGTGCTTCAGGAATTTTTATAAGTGAAACACGCATATGTAACCAGGCCCAGATCAGAAAACAGAGTATGACTGACTCAAAGCCCCATCATGTTTCCGTCTAGTCACTTTTCAACCTGAAGGGTAATTACTATTTTGACCTCCAACGGTATAGAATGATTTTGCCAGCTTTTTGAACTTTACGTAAATAAATTTAAGAGGTATGTATCCCTTAGTGCTTGCTTCTTTTTCCCTCTTAATAAATGATGTATTTAAGAGTGTGGGAATTTTAAAAAATTATATAAATTTCAGGTGTACAGCATTATAATTTGACATCTATATACACTATAAAGTGATCACCACCACCACTCTGGCCATCCTGGGAAAAATAATGTTTTCTTAGAGAGAAGGAGACATATAGTTGACTCCCTTTGACTGTTTTGCCCACCTTCCAAACCCCTTCCCCTCTGATAACTACTAATCTGTTCTCAACATTTATTTATTTTAAAATCTGTTTGTCGTGTTTGTTTTTCTAGATTCCACATATGAGTGAAATTACATATTTGTCTTTTGCTGTCTGACGTATTTTATTTACTATAGTACTTTCAAGGTTCATTCATTTTGTCCCAAATGGCAGGATTTCACTCTTTTTTTCACTGTTTTTTATATATATGTGTATGTGTGTGT